ACCGTGACCCCCACATGCTGCACCCATAAAGCTTTTCCTCGTTTCCACTGAGATGATTTGACTGACACGAGCTCCTGAGCTGAATCCCCCACTCAAACACTGTGTCAAGTGTTTGAATTTACTACTCTAAGTCTTAACACACCAGAGATTGGTTACACACTCAAAGCACACATGCTTGACTGAAAACAAACAACAATTGAATTGTCCCAGAGATAATTTCGTCCTGAGGCGACACCCCAGTTACCAGCAGATGGGAGATTCTGATGCTGTGCAGAAGTTAAACACACGTTTGCTTCATGGGCATTTTGTTTTTTTAATTCTGTTTTTTAGATTTATTCAGAACGATATATTGTTTGAACGCCTCTTGTGTTGATATGTTTGAAGTTTGAAGTTTTTTGTTGCTTACATTTAAAATGTCTTTACTGACTGCTGATCACTTTGATGTCACAAAAATAATATATTGTTTTTTTCTTCCGACTTCTTATTGTGTTGTCTGTCAGCACATCCCACAATTCCTTTTAGATGCAGTACTCGATTCCACAGTTAATAGGAATGCTGGTTCACTTGTGTTGCATATATTTACATTTGTTTACCAAACCAACACACAGCACTCTCGGTTATGTACGATGATGCTCAGACCCACATCCAGCCGATGTCATATACTCTTCAATACACGTTAACATTGTTTTACCCACAACTTAGACTTAGTTTTTTTAAATTTCGTCCCCTTGCATGATTGAGTTTGCCACCACTGGTTGAGAGGATGGCTAAACTTCAGTCATTTCTCCAAATAATCAATGCTCAAAAACTTCAACATTTCCATAGATGTTAATGAATGATATCACTCGAAATTAACCAGAACATTTTTTGCAAAAACTGAAAGACACAAACTGAGTTGCTCTGTGGTTTCTACAATAGAACAACAACAGCAGCTGAGATCATGTGAAGCTATAAAACTGCTGAAAAGTGTGAACTATATAAAGGCTGTACACTGCTAAAATGAAGGTGTATAAACTCTGGGGCTTAGTGCTTTTGCCCATAAATATAAAATGTTTCCAAAAACAGAAGTTCACTCGCCCTAATATAGAATCCTAATGAGGTGGAAAGTGAACAGCGGCCCCTGAGTTAATATGGCATAGAAAATGAGCCTTGTTAATTCATGTTATTTCACTTCACATTTTTACGTTTAACAAAAAGCAAAGCAGTTCTAAATGTGGCAAACAACGGCTTATCGTGTCCTTTAAAGTTAGCACGCTGCTTGTAGACAGAAAATATTCAGGTCAGCATTCCAAATGTTATCAAAGATGAAGACCTTTGTAACCACAGCCTTATGCAATACAGGAAGTAAATTGTCCTTTAGAACAACAGACTGTCTGTAGTGCTCCTTTCGTTTTACCGCCCTTATTTCTTCACAGAAAAAATAACGTTCCAGACTTGGAATACGGAAGAACTACGTGGCTGTTTGACTCACTGATATCAGACAGGAAGCACAATATTTGGTGTCTGTTTATTTTTATTGTGATGTGTGGCAGTTTTTATCAGCTTTGTATGCATATTCTCAAAATGAGCTCGGCCATAAAAGACAGTTTTAGCGTTAAATTGGTTTCATGCAGTCAACGTGTAATCACCTTATCCAGACATGATTAAGTGCATTTTTAACATTGCCTCACTGCAAGTGTGAAGTAGCTTTATTTGGTTTTATGCTGCACTTTCTTATCTCCGCGTCCCAGAGGCTTTGGCGTCTTTAAGCCTCCTGTCAGGCTGAAGTAGACTGAACCAAAACAGAAAGAAAAAAACCCATTGTGGACAGCCTGCTTGTCAGCAATTCAATTAAACCCCATTCATTTTCCTTACATGTCATGTCTGAGCTAATGCGATCATGCTTTGACTGATTGACTGTAAATATCCTTGTGGGGGGATGATGAGACGAAAACCAGTGGACTTGAAATAATGCGACATAAACAGCAGGTTCATGTTGTAATAAGTTCAAGGACCACATTCCAGTGAGCTGCACGGAACACCACACATGAACAGACGTCGACTCTTCTTATAAGTCTACACTTCCTACATGAAAGGGAGAGACAGTTGACACAGCCTTTGTTATGAAGAGAATTGTAGTGGATTGTGAAATTATCAACCTTTGAAGATTCCTCTGTTACAAAGTAATGTCCGGGTCATGAATGCCTTTTTTTCTGTCCGTTAATCTTTTCAATCATTTAGGAATTTGGGGAACTAGATCTTTCATATTTCCGAGTAGAAATTTTTGCTTTGTTTAAAAAGTCAGTGGTTGCAGTGGTCGGATTCCTCTCTCTGTGTTTAGCTAGTGGTCTTCAGCGAGCGAACATACAATATAGAGTATGAGGTTTCTTGACTAGTGTTTGGTTCATTAGTAGAAGGATTATTATGACTTTGTTGGGAAACAGGGTTGACAGGTGAACGAGAAGTAAAGAGCAAATTAAAAAAAAATTATTGTCCTCGTCCACACAGTTAAAGGCAATTAACCCTCGCACACAGTGAACAGAGCTGCTTCTAGAAGGGATTGTTTAGCAAATCAGACAGTGGGGATATGACTGTGCCACAGGCAGAAGGTAAACCAATACTGTCTATGTGGGAAACAGTCCCTGTGCCACTGAAGGAGGACACGGGATAGGGGTTCCTGAGGTAGGGCTTTAGAGAAGGATTAAAAGAGTAAGAGATACAGGAAACAGCAGTCCTGTTTGGTGCATTATTTCATCTGCTCTGTTGCCGTATAGAGTTGTCACAATTTGAAAAACACTTAAATTAAACTTGACACTGTGTAAACATTTGTTGTAAAAAATGTATTGCATTTCATATTCCAGTCTAATGTAATTGGTCCAGGAATGAATGCTTTAGGTGTGCTTCCTAGTTGTGTACATGTGATGGATGTTGCACATTATACACTATATGTCAGCCTTATTACGTTCCCAGCCACAGAGAGCTGCACGTTGGGAGATTTATGAGGTTGAGGAAAACTTAATAAGGTCCGTCTTGTAGCGTGAAACTGGTTATTTTAAGGAAAAATACGTCAAAGTTAGTCGCAACCACGAAAACCTGTATCACATTTTGAATTTTCTGAAACATTAATGTGACTGTGGCATTCATCAGCCAGGGGAGAAACACATATCTAGCTTTTATTGCATAAGTGGGAGTTATATACTGTATGACTACTCTGTACTTGATCTTTTTGGGGACATCTTCCAGGAGCTTCTGGTTGGTTTTCTTCCAGCATGTGCCACCATTAATCACTAGTGACGAGCCATGTGAGGCCTACTGTTCATGAGAACCACCATAGTCAATCACCAGTAAGGACGCTGTTTCCGTCAGTGCAAATATTAGACTTTAACAATGTCTGTCTCAGCTGAGATTTAAAGAAACAGCCCCTGGAAGGATCTGTCAACATGAAGAAGACATATGAGAAACACAAACAAAGTGGACATTGCAACAGTAGAAATTATGAAATGTACCTTTAATACCCGTTGCCTAATAATCTGTCACCGTAAAGTAAGAACATGGTGTTGAGGTTACTTGTCACTTGCTAATGTGTTATCCACCCAGCTAACAGTGTTAGCTTCTCATTCATGTAGGATCACAGTGTGGGCCAGCCTACCTGGCTTTATGGGGTTGTTTATTTTTTACAAGAAAAGACATGGTAAACCCAGGTCATTGGTGGGCGTTAGTATTTTTTCAGCTGCGCCAAGCTAACTTTGAGCAAACGGTGAGCTTTATTTTGTCCATAAGCCGGGTAGAAATTTGATGGTTGAAATGTTTTTGTTAAAAAACGTAAATACAGCAAACAAGACAAATAAGTGTCAAATACTGGGTCTTTGTTTTACATCTAAAAGGGAAGGATACCAACCTCTATTTTAATTCACATTATTATGTTTTTCAACAGTCTGACATGGAAGGTACCCATTTGGTATGGTAAATCACTAGACATATAGCAACTGGTTGCCACAACACCAAAGAGTTTCACCCAGGAATAGTTTCCTGACTAGTCTGCACTCTATTCAGTGCCAAAAAAGAGACACTTAGTCATTGTCTCATCCTAAAGTGATTTCATAATTACAGTTCAACTAGTGCAACCTGTTATGAACTGTGACCACATCCAATGTCTACGTGATGATTTTTTTCCCACGTGCTTTCGCATGATTAAAACTAAGGATTGGCCACTTCAGTTCTCATTAGTCACTTCCAGAGAAAAACCTTAAGCCATAAAGTGGTTGTATTTCATCATCACTTATTTACATTGTGTAAACGCTGAATAAATCACACGCGTCCTCACATTAAGGCCCATACCTACAGTGACCTTAAAAAGTCTACCTTCTCTGACCTTTGCATCTTCCCGGTCCATTTCCAATACCTATGGGAGCATCTTTTTGGTTTGTACACCACATGTTGAGCCACCGATATAACAGCAGGTAACATCTGCAGAGAAGTCTTTTTTTTTTCATTCTACCCAGGCTAGTTAGCTGTTCTGTAGCTATTTTTTGCTTCGCTTTGCTCCTTATGTTACGGTGCTGCCTGTGAAGATGACAGATGTCGCAACGTTACTGTTTATTTGTTCTGAAGAGACTCTCTGCAATCCAAAATGGACACAACCTGTCATCCACAGACTCATCCTCCGTTATTTATCTAGTGTGGGTAGAAACAAAAACCTCTCCTAGCAACAGGCAACGTGAAGCCTAAATGTCA